GGGTTTTACATATTTTTGTATCTGCTGGAAATATGAAACATGACAAGTATTTCAACTTCAAAAAACCTTTCAGTTCACTTTTGAATGGTAAGGAATTGTATAATATGTAATAAATGCATCAGCCAGATAACGGAACATGGCCATTTTATACCTCGAATGCATGTCCGGATTTCTAGTTTGCTAGCTTTAGTCGTGGTACACGCATTCTGATTTTCCATAAAGGCTTCGTATCATGCCCACCTGAGGCGTTTCAAGAAGTGTAGAAATTGAAATGTGATCGTATGGAGTAGATTTGCATCTGAAACAACTTTTTTTAAATATGCATTTGACCGCAAACTATAGCTAGAACATATGATTTGTGTGCTAGCTTTTTAGAGTCTGTTTCATCGTGATCACTACATTTCAATCCTCACAAAAACGCTGATGTTTTAACATCTAGTGTGCAAGTAGTCATTTTCCCTAAAACACTAGATCCATCCATGAAATTGCCACTGCTGTTTCTTGCTGTTGCAGTTGAAGATTGGTTCTTTGTTTCGATATATGATAGACATCGATTGGGGCTTGTGATGTCGGTCTCGTTGGAGATACAATCGTCGGGCTCATTTATTCTGGGCTTTAGTGTCTAATCCTCGACGGGGAGAGCTTTTAAGTACACATTAATAATACACAACCCAAGATGGCGATGAAAAGTGCTCAGGATTGCGTAGGCTTAGATTATAGGACAGATAAAGAGACCAAACAATGATTAAGATGTGACCACGGTGATTAGAGGGAACATTACATCCATATGTATAGCTTGTACATGTCACTCGCGGAATTAACTAAGGTCGAGATCTGTTCCTGTACAGGACTATTTACATTGTAATGTTGACAACACGTTGTTTTCGGCCCATTCAGTCTCATTAGAATCCCATAAGCTTATAGGCAGTAGAATCTTCCTTTTGGTTAACTAATTTTTAATGACTTTAATAATATTAGTCTCGTGATATTTATTTTATTTTTATTAGTTTTCTTAGTTATATCTTTCTATCCCGTTAATTCTTTTTCTTAATTACCATGTTAATTTCATGACTCTCATTTGTTAATTAAGTTAGTAAGGAGGAGGGCCCTGTATAAGCCCTGAAGGCTTCATACCTCCTTCTGCACATTGGTTTTCTTTTATGTAATTTTCTATTTATTCTATTTGTTTTGAACATGTGCGAATAAATAAACAAGCAAATATAATATCCTTTAAGACATTGACTTGATGATTGTGACCTAAATTGGTTAAGGAATTAATGTCGACTTTTTGACTATTTTTTTCAGTTTTCCAGGAACCACTAGCTCTAGAAATTAAATATCCTTGATTTCATTGCCATGGCCGTTCGTTAAGCTGTTAAGCCAAGCCTCTAAGTGACCGACTCTAAAAATAGAGACGAGACGGGTTGCCATCGTTTCGGGTTTATTGGTAACACTCTACCCGAAGCCGGGTCTTAGAGGTTTAGATAACAACCGAGTTCCTGAAAATCCACTTCAGTCCCGGATAAATCTTTAGAAGGCTTGGATGGATCATATGGAATTTCACAGCGGCACATGTATCTTACATGAAAGTGTCTGGGACTATAGGCCATTGCTCCGCCAAAGCAAGGTGACCTGACATCAATGTAGCATGAGGTAAAGATCTGAATCTATGTGTTGAGCCTAGTTTAATGGTCTCTACAAGAATCCTTGTGGCTAGCTTAGATCACTTGACGTTTGTCAAAGGGGTGAATATATACCATTCTAGGAGTCGGTACGTTAGAGACGGCTCAACTGACTACTTTCGGAATCCGTTTGGTTAGTTTTTCTCTCTGGCAAACTTGCCGGCCATGCATTTATTACAAGGCTTGGCGACGACACACTCAAGTTTTTTTCAACTTATTTTATGCCACTTCCAATGCAGACAAACGCATGAACGGACAACAGACATACTCATTTTCATCGATCTGAATAAAGTGAAGAAATTCGTGTAAAGTGCCTTTCTCAAGGGCACAAAATCGGTGACATGACAGGATTCGAACTCGGGACCGCTTGCATGGTTCAGATCCGAACGCTCTGTCGTTACGCCATACGATCCTTTCTTTTTTAGCTTCTGATTTTCGGTCATCAAAGAAGTCTGGTGGAGACTACTTGTCTACCACTTTTGATAACAAAAGATACTTACATTTCTCCTAGTAACATTTTAGAATAGCTATAGGCCAGGGAAATGTTTTTTATTCATTCATAAGTAACGTGAGCATAAAGGAACCATCCCTTTCCAATACTTAACCAAAAACACAAATGACATATGAATGTAAAGTAGAAGATCAATCAAATAAAAATAATGTATCATTGTACATAGAGTTCCCCATTTTTCTCGGTTCTTTTCAATCTTCCTTCTCCCTGTAGCGATAAGTAGTCTTTAAGATTTCCTGCATTTGTAAATGTACATTTTTAGGCGAGGGAAATGTTTCCAAAGATGATATCAGAAACACGACAGCGTAGCGTATGACATGTACTTGAACCCAGAAGCACTGCCTCCGGCCGAGACACTCTGTCTCGCAGAAGAAGTTCTAATATCACAGAGACCAGCTGTGTTAGGAACTGCCACGGGACGTGCAAGCTGTCACATATCCAATATATAGATCATCACGTAAGGTGCAATGTCTTGAAGCACTGCCTTAGTATTAATATAAGATTGTGATTTCGGTATGGTTTTCATCGGTACCTATGGTGGGTTTTTTTTATTCATCAGTACACAACAAAATAGTAACAAGGACAGTGTGGTGCTGCACTCAGGTTTATAACTTATTTTAACGGCGCCACACAACAAAATACAATTAACAAATAAATACTCAGAGTTGACATAACAGTGCACCAATGTCCCATAACCTCAAGACATTAAATGATACTAATGCTAACCAGGTCATAAATAAAATGTTATTGAACAGGAGTATGGTGAGTCTCGTGACATCATCAACTTCTGGCCTGTGCTATGTACACTGTAGGTTCAGATTTGTGCTCAACGTTTGCTTACGTTGTGACCAACTCATTTAATTGTCAATTCTTGTATAATAAACCTAATACTTGGACTGAAAGAAAAATGATATTCCAGTATATAGCTATTGTAGGTAAGTGATCCGTTCATTTGACATTGAAGCATCATATAATTCAGTCGTACTCTGAAATGTAATAATGTTCTTCGCTCTTGGCATATGTTGCACCATTAATCATAAACAGCAGTGATGTCTCTTTGACTCATTCCGAATCAAATTATAAGGCATCATTTCAACTTCAATTCACAAATACAGGGACTTTGTGAATAATATTTCTTGTTTAATCTTGGACCATAGTGGACGGTATGTTGTATTATGCTGTAGCAAACCCTCAATTAGAATCAATATTTTTTATAACCTGGCTAGCATTAGTATTATCTAACGTCTTGGGGTGGTGGGACTTCGGCGCACTGTTACGTCAACTCTGTGTATTTATATGTTAATTGTATTTTGTTGGGTGGCGCTGTTAATAAACTAGTAAGTAAACTTGAGTGCAGCGCCACACCGTCCTTGTTACTGTTTTGTTGTGTATTGACAAATAAAAAATGCAAACGTACCGCTTGCTGCCTCGTATCTCAGACGCTGTAACACAGTTCTATATGTATTACTAAACATTCATCTTTCACGAATATTCAGGTGCACAAATTTGCGACTACAGAGTAGATGGCAGGAGATTACGTAATGTTCACCAGAGCTGAGAGATCCGATGGATTGTTGTGAAATGTAGCCTGCCTCGGACCTGCCTCGTACTCTCACGTTCACCACTGGTAATCGGCACATCCATCAACCTAATAATAAAGGATTATACAGCTGTGTTCTTAACGGTGAATGTTCCGGGGCACAGTAATTGGGACCGACAAAGCCGTAAAGCTGCTCGACTTGATAAAGAAATTCAGCGCAACAATCATTCAACGTATTCCACAGGATCAGCTACCGTTTTGTTCGAATTGTGTTTCAACAGGGGAGTGTGCAACATAATCCGTGAGAATACATCACAGAACGGCAACTGTATCTCACACCTGAAGTTGACAACCTTGTTTGTTTGCCTTCGTGTTTTATTGCACAGCTATCATTCAACATATTCCACTGGATCAGCCACTGTTTTGTTTGATTTTATGTTTCAACTGTGGATTGTGCCACATAATCCATGAGAATACATTACAAGACTGCAACCGTCTCTAACACCTGCAACCTTGTTTGTTTGCCTGCTTGTTTTATTACGCACAACTTGTAAAACTGTAACATAAAGTCATGAACGAGTTCTTTACTGAAAGTTGTGAGCTGCATGAGAGGATGAAATACAGGCTATCGGGCTACAATTATTACCAGTGGAGTGCACAATTAGGGCTCGAACGAGAATCAAACCCACGACCTCACGGTCCATAAGATGGGGTTAATTACACGGACTACAGCGACAAGGTGCCCTTTCGTAGTAATAACGTACGCACCTCCTCCTCTTATAAAATCTTGCGTGACTGAATTCTAACAATACACGTACTAAGACATCTCTATACCATTAAAGCCATCCCTAAAGAAGCTTTACATACAACAAGGTTTGCAATAGAAACTAACCTTTTGTTGAGAAAGTCCAGAGAGACGACACCGTGAAGTCATCCGAAGCGCCTCCTCATCTTTACAGTAACCGGGCCTGTCTGGGTGCGTCCTCCGCCGTCCTCTGCACAAATCTCTGCCGAGGTTGTAAAAATGATTTAGCATAATGGTGCCGCTCGGAAACTTTGAGTAATGCTCGACGCCAGACCTTTGCTACAAACGTGACTCCTAATTACGTTGTTGGACTAACCAGTATATCTACACATGTACCTGTTTCCGTACGTACGAATGGATACGCTGGACAGTGTGGTAGGAACAGGGATAAGCGTTACGCCAGCGGTTGTAGAGCTCCTACCGTTTCTACAAGCCCCCGGTGCCACCATATGGTAGAGGATGTTAGCCGCGTGTCGCTGGCATGGCCCGCCGTACAAACAACCTGCCGAACAGGCGCTGCTGCCACGTCACCGCCGCGGCTGCATTTAAATTACTCCCCTCTCTATCCGTCCCGACAACCTGTTTACGAGAGGATGGTCCATTTATGCCACAGACTCGAGGTCAGGGAAAAATTATAAAATTGACTGACATTTGCAGATGGTATATGTAGCGCATAGAAGACGCATGCGCCCTGCGCTTATGCTGAGGTCACATTTCCAACCCGGGGCCCGGCCGGGCTGTTTACTTGAACGAAAAATAAACGATTCATATCACCAATATGGACAGTAGAGCCCATAATTTATTGTCACAATTCTTTTGTGTTTTGATACTTTTCATTCCGAGAAACTACCCGCCCGGGCCCCGGCTTGGAAATGTGACCTCAGCATTACACTAACTCTACAGCAGTACTACGAAGACAAGCCAACATATACAAGAGCCAATGAATTCATACCATCTCCTCTTTTTTTAACGTAATAATTCAATATGTAAAGTATAAATCGTATCATATATTTCATTTGTCCGTGTTAATTATAAGAAATAGATACTTAAGTCTATTTTGATTAAAGTGCCACCGCCTTGCATTTAATAGCTGAATAATAAAAATGTGCAATATAGTTGCGCATAAAGTTGTTATAGTGATAATAAAAAGCAAGTTAGAGAGAGTGTATAGCAATTACATGTATCTGTCGGCGCGTCTGGTAAATAAATGCACACTATGCTAATGCAAATTGTTTTCGTTGGCAAAATTCTTTCTTCTTGTACCTATAAGACTGTTGATTTATCTAAATTGGTAAGAAAACTGTGTTCTGCCCCGTCTAATTAAAACATAATAAAAGGGAGAAACATCAATTGAAAGAATCGGATCAATAAACATGCTCCAGGCATAAAAGACACCGAGTCTGGCCTGTAACGAATGAACCAGGGGCTCTCATAAATTGTCTATTATTGGTTAGCGCCGATTTCTACTTGACGTAATTGTATTGGTTTTCGATGATATAAAGTAGCGTCTATTTGGAATGATGCCAACTTAAAGAGAGTCCCAGTATTTCATGTCGACTACATTAGGGGACTGTCTATCGTTATTGAGTCGGGAGTATTGAATTTTCTCACAAGGAAATCATTCTAGACTGCCTCAGTGAACAAGCAGCAACAATAACTGCTCGTGCATATGATGAACCATCAATGATTTAAATGCCGGAGGACAGAGGGGACCCCAGAAAGTGCGAAATGCAACGAAATGGAGCGAAATGGAATTCGAACGAAAAGAAAAGAAAATATTTCACACAATGAAGTTTTAAATACACCTAATGTGTTTTATTTCTTGAACCTATTCTTTACTGTCAGATACAACGTTTTGCTGCGTTTGTGTGGCTAATCTCTGCCCATAAAATGGAGGCAAAAGATCCACCACTGTTTACCAACATTGAACGATATACTATGCTAATGAACTGCGACGAATTGCTTGAAATCATGACAAGGAGACAGATGGAAGGACTATAATAAAGAAGTGGACGGTAACATTTCAATTTCAGAATTCACCGAGAGTTCATGAGGCAAGCTTTGTTTTAAACCAGGTTTTTGAAGCTCCTTATTTATACAAGAAATAAATCATGTCAACATGTCTATCAATGTCTTCTGTATCTAAAACATTAAAGTTCCTTGCCTTATATTTTGCCATCTTCATGTATTTAATTTCATTGTATTGACACAATTGTACATATTTTGTTTTCTTTTATTTCATTTCGTTTCATTTTGTCCATTTCGTTCTATTTCGCACTTTGTGTACAGCGGGACCCGCAATACTCATAGAGGGTTTCTCCCAGATGGATCCGTCTGTGTAGGCGGAGAATTATGTCTTTAATTTAGACCTCCTACATTATTCTCTCAACCTATATTTCTTTTCCTAATTAGACATAAGAAATATAAACTGTACCTGGTTAGGATAAGCAATGTAAGACCAGGCAAGTCTTTTTTGAAAGGATTCCATCCGGCCATTTAAAAACTTACATTTATGTCATTTAACTAACATAAATTGTTTGACCTGTATATGAGAATATTTCAATTTTAAAAAAATATATTTACATTGGTCAGTAGCAAACATATGATCTGTTATCTATTCTTACTTATTTCATTGTGTATCATTTCAATGTAATCTTGTGGAACTATACTTGAATGCCGTTTGTTGACTTTATTGTCTGATGTGTTCTAACGATAAGGCAGGATATGTTACCTTGAGCATTTCATGGGCCGTACTAGAGCGAGAAGCTTACGTTTGTGGTCTATTGATCACACAGTAAACAAGCTCCATTGCCTATTGTCCAATAAAATACTTTATATCATTCTCTAATGCCCCAATCACTGCCACGCAATTGGCTGGCTAGTCAACCTGTTTATCGATCCTGCCATGCGATTGGCTGGCTAGTCAACCTTTTTATCGATCAGATGATAAGAGCGGTTCTGAAGCTGAGCAAGCGAGATGCAACATCTGACGGCTTATCATTCTGTAAACGGTTCACCGAGGAATCTATAAGACACATCTTGGGTTTATGATCATTCAGGAAAGTAGCAGATGTCTCATAAATAGATATTTTTATATCATTTTAATCGAGAGTATTTATTAGTGTCTATAAACAATGTATGGAGGAGGCAAGAAAGTTTCTGATCGTTAACCTTTTCTTTAGCACAAAAGTCTTCAAGAATTTTTCTGTAAGGTTTCTTATTCTTTATATCATTTTAATTGAGTTTACTTTAAGTGCCTATAAACAATGTATAGAGAAGGTAACAACGTTTATGATCGTACCTTTTCTTCAGCAAAAATTCTTCAAGAATCTTTCTGTGAGGGTTCTTGCGACATGTATCTCAGACCATCACAACGCAATCAAAGTTGCCGACAAAAAAACTGTGTCGATGATTCTCTATGTCGATACAAGGTAGAGATAGAGTCCCGGCCAGATGGTTAAGTACTATACTGTAAAGATTTGTGGATGTGACGAAACTGTTTCCAATATGTCCTTGTCGGGGACGACAGTAAAGTATACACGACCGGATGGGTCCAGACAGGTTATTTTACAGTCAGTTGGTATAGAGTTTGGTCGCTCATATTTCATCGATTGCTGCATTCGATTTTACGTCTATTACATGGCATTCAATCTTACACTTAAGCCAGATCTAGCCAATCTTCAATCTAGCTATTTTATATATATATATATATATATTTATATTTTGATTTAAAATTCCAGGAAGTTCAATACTCGCATGTGTTACCATGATTCAATAAACATGCAACGTTGTCTATTTTCAGTAAAACGTCAAGCGAGTCTCCTAGCGCTTCACGTCATAATTGCAATTCTTATATATTTATTGCTCAACTCGAAGTGGGTTTATGAGATCAAAACATACCAATGCCAATGCACTTGAATATAAATTCAATGTAGTTTATGTAACAAAAAAAGATAAAACAAAAGTAGTTATATATAATTACTAATTGTGTATTTACTATATGTAAGCGTTGCAGTTATCATTTCATAGTATGATATACTTTGATATACCAGTTGTTCTTACCATTTATTAGAACAGATTAAATACCTTTCTGCATGTTTTCATGAATAAAACAAACACATAAATTTATATTTTTTTTCCTTTATCTTTAATTAATATCAGAGAGTGACGGGACACTTGTGTTCATAAATGTTTTATTTCAGAGTGCCTTTGAACAAACAACGGAGCATGAGTGCCATGCAGTATATCATAAAGCAACAGGGGGCGCTTCGGCACTGACATCGTACGTGTCATTAACTATAATATAAAGTAAAGCGTGTAACTTCTTTGTTTAAAGATTTTGTTGTTACAAATAGATGCATACAGTTCTGTGTCGAGAAATTTGATTGAACCCACACAGACTGACCAACTTTGAGCTATACGTTGTTCTCATTTGTTGAACTGGACTGTTATATTGTTAACTCAAATGGGTACTGAACAGCAGAATCTGACATTAGGCCACAGCAAGAAATTTATATGGATAACATCAGCGCACGCATTAATATTCGTCTGATTTTGGAAAAAAAATTTTGTTGCCCTCTAACGGTGGTCAACATGACGAAAAAGGACAGATATATCTGTTGCCATGCCGGACGAGAAAAGACAAGACAAGGATCTAATGCAGTAATGTATTTTTTGTGGCCTGCCTTGTTTTTTTTTCGCCCTTTGGCATTAGATTTGGAGTCTGAGGAGGATGTCACCCATACAATGTCACCCATTTCAGAATTGACGTTGTTCATCCACTTTTTTGCACCGTGATTTACTTGATATTATAACAGTTAAAAGATAATGATTTCTTTTAGAACCATTTACATGAATCCTCACCAGTACTAGTCTACAGTCTATGTTTCTGTGATATTTCCCGTTTCTTTCATGAAGTGGATATACGTAACCAGTAGACTAGGTTAAATGTTGCGAATAAAAGAGGGAAAATGAAGCGACAGTGATAGTCTATAGCGTTGACTTTTCTGTGGCGCTTCTGTGTGTGAATGTAAGTCGTCCGCACTGCTTCGTTTTCCCATTCTACAAGCAGGTTATGTGCTGTTCCGTTCTGAGTGTGGTGCCGCGACTTCTCTCTGTAGCCATGTTGTTCCCCTTCCCTTTTATCTGAAGAGGGAGGGAAGGCTTGTATGTCACCATCGCTTGTGAAACGTGCAAACGTTGGGGTTAGAGTCCCCTCGTATCTTTGCTTCCCCCCTTCAGTAGCCGTGTCGCTGTTACTTCTGTGTCTGTACACTCTGTTATGGCGTTGTATATTAGGACTGTTACTGGCGGTGTCCATTTTGAAGGACGTGCTTGATGATGAGCTTTTTTGTTTCACCTCTTCGTCTGACGTGTTCTCGCTGTCTGTTCTATGTCTTCTCCATCTTCTGCGGAGCAGCATTCTCGGCTCACTGCCGCTGATGCTACCACACGGGTGTCTATTGGTCAGGAGTCTGCTGTCACGGTGTGTCCCACCTGTCCCCAGCACGTTATTCGACTCCACAGATTCGCCGTCAGTGAAATACAGAGGACCTGTGGGGGATTTCTTCAGCTGCAAATCAAGAGCTTGTTTCGTGGACGTCGCCTGGTCTCTTATAAACGACGACAGGCAAGGTGCCGTATGAGACCGTCTTATTTTTGCGAAGGAATGCTTGACGTTCTTGGCCAGCTTGCGATTGAGCATCAAGGAAGACATCTTTAACAATTGGATGATCCCAGCCTAGGGAACAAAACACAACAATAAAATGCCGTCAGAAGTACTCTTGGAGAAACTCCATATCACTTCATTGTAAACTTGTTGACACAAGTATTATACCGGGATTATCATATGGATCCTAAATCTGGTAAAGTAGCAATATGAATGAAAAATCTTTAATAAAAACTGTACATTTGAAATTCTGTAAATTCCATATAGAATGATTCCAATGGTTTCGTCACAGAACATGACGGTGTAGTTCTTTTTACTTTTGTTGAGACACCATTTGTGCGTGACTCGTGTTTGAATCAAAGCCGCGCAATGATCAATTTTATGGTTTTCTTTGCTAGCAACGTCTTCCACACTCCATTTACAACTGTGCCTTTTGGTCCTTTGCATGGTGACTCGATCCTAGAATCATACACAGCAGCTGGAAACAGTAAGGTTGTAAAGAAACCTTTTGTTCGACAAATCTATACAATCATATAAAAAGCACAGTGCATGGCAGCCTTTAAAAATTTGAAAATAGGGATCATATACAGTATAGTAACGGAAGGTCTCTTCTTTCTGATAATACATGGCTAATGGTTTTACGGTAGCGTTTTCATCAGCAATTCTGTAGGACATGATAAGATATGTATTGTTAGACTCTTTGTCAAACTTATGCTGAGATCACTATTCCAACACGGGGCCGACTGGGCAGCTTTTAGGAACGAAAAGTACAACATGAAAGACAACACAGAAAAGTTCTTAATAATAATAATGGGCACTATTTCTGTATATTTTTTATACGAATTGGTAATTTTCGTTCATACAAACAGCCCGGGCGGCCCCCGGGTTGGAAATGTGACCTAAGCATTACCTTGTCCATATGGTGATCCTTATTGCAACGTTGTTTTCCCCTCCGTGACATAGCGCTCTGCCATCTTGTCTTGTTCCCTTTCTTCTTGGGTCTGTAGTACTTGAAGTTGACCACGGCGTATTGGATAAGCGTGGCGCAGACGAACACCATGCACACCAGATGGTAGATGTCTACCGTGTGGATGTACGCCACTTTCGGGAGGCCCTTCCGTACTCCGGTTATAAACGTTAGAAGGGCAAGGAACGTTTCCATACCTGGAAGGAATATAGATTTGAACTAGAAGGTTAACATTTGCAAAGCATCAGTGCATCATGTTTACCTTCACATGGCTCAGCTCAAAAAGCTACTGCTTTGTTTATTCTTATTCAAACACAGTCAGTTCCTGCAAGGCAGTTGCAACATTATGTAACCTAACACCAGTTACCATGGTGACAGACGTCTTGTCCTGGTCATTGACCTTATTTGGAACGGAAAAAAAAGAAGAGAAAGAAACTGAGCAAACACAATATGTTTTCCTTCGGTAAACATAATAAAGACCAGGCAGATAATGTGTGGTGTTCACGTGGTGTAGAAAGCCCTCCGGCGGGATATGCATAAACTGCAGCGCAGAAACACGCACAATTACACACGCATTCACGTGTGGATTAAACATAGATTACATATTTACATATTTCACAAAAGCAAAATTTCATTGAATCCTCAGGTAATACTTGTATATAATCATTTCTGTAAAATCTAAAAGTATCGATCATTAGCCCTAACGACATACATCAAGTTTGATTGTTCCCTGATGCTGATATAATCCACCCATCCTTCACAGTAGATCCAATTATACCTCCGCCATTTGGGAGTAATTAGGTAGCTATTTTCTGGGAGCGGAAATCCGGGAAATACGACCTCAAGGAAGATCCAATTTAAAGGGGGACGTAAAAACAAGGAGGCGATCGTTGTCACAGCGTCTGCTTCCTTGATTAGGTATATAAGGCCACTGCATGTAAATTTTATGGACGACATCCTCCGCAGACTCCACATCTAATGCGATAGGCCGAATTAAAAAAAAACAAGGCAGGCAAAAAAAATTTCATTTCCAAATTTTGACATCATAAACCTTGTTGAACAAGATCTGCCAACTATTACAACATCCATTTCTGACTGAAACAACTTTGAAAAAAAAGAGTTTTGAATCATAGTACAAATGGTTTTGATTCAGTGGGAACATCACATATACACAGCCACCACCACAATTAAAAGGAATGAAATGCATCACTGCATCTAAGTAAAGGGCAAAATATTAAATCAGAGCCTTGTTTTGTCTCCTCTCTGCACATGTATCTGCCATCCTCCTTCCGGCATGGCGACAGATATCTTCGCCCATTTTTGGCATGTTGACCACTGTCAGAGAGCAACACACTTTTTTTTTACAAACATCAGGTGAAAATCAATGCGCGCGTTGATGTCATCCATAAAAATTACCTGCTGTGGCCTAATGAAGGTCATGTGTGGCAGATGGCCAGACCCAATACAAAAGGCCGTTTATTGCTGCGGTTGCACAATGACAGCTACGGAACTAAATCTTCATTATGTTTGTTTGATGCATTGTTTATTTATAAGGAGTTCAAATCGGCCTGCAGACCGCTTTTCATTGAGGTTATGAGGGAAGAGACCAAACCCCGCTTGGGCATGGCGCGAGGGGTTGCATTTGCCGTTGCAGATGGTGACATAAAGCCAATGGTCCCTTGAATGGGGTAGCCTACGGCGTTAGCCTCAGGCCAAAAGCCTCTTCATATTTTTTTTAAAAAGTCAATACATTAACGACAAGAGTTGCTTTGTACCACACAGATAGACACACACACCGGTTCTCTCAGTTAGGATGACTGCCTTTACCTCTTACATGCTGATCTTTGGCAATTAGCAGTATATCGGATACTACATCTGCCAATACAACAGAACTATCTGACCCACCTAGAACGACTCTGCCAACCACGACTTTGTAATCGATCCAGAAGGCGACCCACGACAGACTGACGAGCAGCATACACGGCACGTAGATCAGGAAGATGACTTGTCCCACGTCTCTGTGCAACTGGAAGTTTAGTACGACTCTTGGAAAGGCTCCTGAAGGGGTGACAAGAATACCACGGAAAACGTTTTTAAAACTTCAACTTTCTCTCACAAAAAAATGGATTATAACAAACTATACAAAAAATATTCTGGCCTGTAGTACGAAATATTTTAATAGTTTGTAAGATACATATAAAGAACCTAACACATTGTACCTATTACATTACCGGTGTTCTGAGCTGAAACGTGGTTACGGCGCATCGGACTATTAGTTATCGGTAATGTTCTGTCGATGTTTTAACGTATATTGACGTTCATTGTTGATTTTAGATACCAAAATTGGACCCAAATTTGGTGATAAGTGTGAACCAGATTCGTTTAATAGAGAAAAGTAAACACATAAATAAACTAGATACTAGATAACATTTGCAAAGCAAATGCATAATGTTTACCTTCCCATATGGTCTGCTCTGTTAATTCTTACTCAAACAGGCACATTGAATTCGTTCATATATATGGTCAAACAGGAGTCTAAATTCGTATTCCCATAACATTGCAACATGATGTACCCCAACACTAGTTACCATGGTGACAGACGTCTGGTTCAGGTCATTGACCTAATTTGTTTGGAGAAGAAGAAGAAGAGGAAGCAGGGAAGCAGAGCAAACTAAGACAATATGCTTTCCTTCGGTAAACATAATTACTAGTGTAAAATCGATAATTGAATGAAAGTTGAGTACAATGCTTCCAGTATAATCACAGATCTACTTTGTACCTGTATCGAGCTGGCTTGCCCCGGAGGAGGTTTGGAAATCAACAATAGCGAACGTCGGAAGCTGTATCCCCGCTAGTCCTGTTATAGACTCCCTCCCATGTCTCCAGTATAAACGTATGTCCTTCAGGGTATATCCGTCTAGAGAAGAAACGGCAAAGTAACGATATCGATTATATCAAACTCCATTAACGACAGTGCATTATCCATAACAGTCAATTTACATGTTCCTAAAATATAGAAACTTTATGCAGCAGTGCAATGATTCAGATTATGAACATTGATTTTTTTGATATTCCAATCCCTGAGGTACAATCGGCACTCTTCTGATCTTTAGAAAATTAGGTTCTTGGGGAAATTCATAGGCGTTTTAGTGGGAAGACAGATGAATTAGGCACTTATGCACACTTTTACGGCTTCTTGCTATGCTATTAGTGTAAGTTATGTGACATTTGTGCACAAACAATTGAAATATTTCATTTGAAACAATCTTCGTGTGGTTGTAATTTGCTTTCACTTCTAAGCATATTTGTGCAATGATCTTAGATTTCTGACAATTCTGGTTGGCTAAAACAACCCACACGAGGCGCGCTCAGTTTGTTGTACCACCGCAAACTAACAGAATACATCATTAAGCAAACATGACTGACAGCCGTATTTCACACTCGTAAAGCGTCATACTTTGGCACCTCCACTTCCTAAATGGCAGTTATTTGCAAAAGAGTAGGGTTGATTCAATTTACTTTGTTAAGGAATAAACGGAGAAATGACGTTTTGTATCGTCCTAATCTTACGCAATGCAGACAAGACATGAATTTCTAAAACAAGCCCTGCATTGTCCTCTATGTGTGTTAATCCTGTCCCCGCGTTCTCTTATAAAAGACGCCATGCGCCAGGGTGATAATTCATGGCAGGAGCTCAAATTGATTCTGACAAAGATCCCAATATCATGATGCAACGCCAGCAAACTTTATAGTTATCTAATTTTCAACGGCAGTGATATCTAATAATAGGTACCGCAGGGCATAGCAGTAATCTGGCACCTAGTGGACATGTTGTATTACAGAATAGTGATTGCAATAGTAATTGGGAATGGTCTACCCCAGGCCTAGACAGGTCAATTCTTTGGTATTTCATTCCAAAAGCGAGACCAAATATCATCCATACATAAAGATTAATGTTTGGATAATATTTTGTATTTCTAAATGTATGACAGATACCTCTTGTAGTTTGCCATTTAATAAAGGGTTAATGCCCCACCCTGATGTGTATATGGTAAGATGATCCCTGGTTAGGTGCGATAACCACTGATTAAACCAACAAGTGAGCGTAGCAGGGATTATCTCACCATATACACAGAATAGGTGGGGCTTAACGTTATTATGATATAGCTTATCCAACTGACACAGTTATTTTAGTGTGGGTGTTGAAAATTATGTTTACTTTTTCTGTTTAGATATCTTTTTGATTGTGTATTTTTAAATAAATAATTCAAAATAAACTACAATGCGTCGTCTAATAAATAAATATCACACTGTTAGTGTTCTGTCCCCTGTTTGATGGTACGTTCCAAAAAGTCGGTTATTCTAATAACCGACCACTTGTTTTCATTATTCACTACTTATGATACTGCCTGATAACCGATGGGAAATGGAGGCTCCTGATTGGTCGACGTCTTCTGACTGTATGATAATTGTTATTAACTATATATATTTGACGTGCAAACCCAGTATACAGCTGTTCATACCATGGTCACCCGGAAACCGACAAAAAGGATCATTAGTCAGGGTTCACAGGCGGACCAGGGGCCAGGCCTGGACTAGAGGTCAAGGTCAGCGCATAGGATTTGATATATAGATAATGGACCCTCATCACGAATTGATGAAACGTAAACGAGATTTGATGATACCGTCATATATATAACCAGGCCTAGCAAAGGCCATAAAGTGGGGTAAATGTAGTTTGTTATACCATACTCAGTAAGGATTACTCGTTTTCGTGCGTCCTATGATAAATTCCCTATAGATTCTTAAGGGATGTATTTAGAAATCCCTTGTTGACAAAATGGTAGATAACCACAGGAGTACCATAAAACCCACAACTCTTTATCCTCGGAAAAACATCTTTTTATCCCCAGGGCAATTATCACAGTAACGATCACCAGTAACTTCACTTGTTTTTTTACGGAAATGTTAACAAGAGTGGATTTGTGTAAGACCTTTGATTCTCTGATCTATGATTTAGTTAATGCCCCATATCTTGTGCTCACAGGATGCGGATTTGTCAATATGTGGTATAACAGTTGCCAAGATTCTAGAAATAACAAATAGTTTCTGCCATTTTCGTGGTAAAACATTGTCAATCAGACAAGAAATACAGGCATTGATTTCAGCAATCCATTTGGTAAGGTCACGCACAAGATATAAGTCATAGTTTTACGGTAGACATGACGAGTCGCTAGCCCCCAGTAGGTGATTCTGCGGTTTTGGGTGCAGACACCCCGTGGAATCATAATGTCATATATAGGGCACATGATGCGGTAGGGTGAATCTGGCGGAAGATAGATAAGATAGTGTCACTAGGGATGTACCAACTGTAGATCGCTTATAGCGTTTATAACTGGTAACACAATCAAATTCGAGATGTACTGTCGTTATACAAGAAGTGTATGTGCCTTCTTTGCATTTGGATGGATCGTAGCAAAATAGTATCCGGCAGTTTTTTTTTACTTTATAAACCCCATTTTTCCCCTTTGAGAGATAGATATTCAATAGTGGTTATTCGAGTGGATTAGAAGATCTCTAAAGGTCCATGGAATGCAAATGTGCAAATGGGACACCAATATGGCGGCGAATACGCCATGACGTCACGTGAAAACACACTTGACGACCGTGTGCAACAAAACTGGTTGTACCTCTAGTGTAGATTTGCTTCAATTCAAGGAATAAAGTATAACTTTAAAACCCCCATCTATTTCTACACGAATTTGAATTCACTTTAAACTTGCAACAGCGAGTTATCTTTAGTCTTAGCTTTAGCTGCTTTAAAAGTAGGATCTGAAATCGTTGCTGATGGAATAAACGGCTGCGTCCTCCCAGTACCCATAACCACGTTAACGCCTTTCCTACTTGTTCCCCGTCCGTTAATGGTCTTCTACAAGCCTTGCCTACCATTAGACACTCGGTAATTGTATTGACTCTTCCATGAATCAATGCCAATCGTGCAGTCACTCCAGATTCATTCTTATTCTTTACGAAAGCCACCTAGTTTTTTTTTTTTTTTTTGCGTTGGTACGAGTTTTGAATAACGGCCACACGTGGTTCCCTGGTATCGACTGTAGGTAACCCCAGTTGTAACATTGTCGATCTGGCCTCGGAGATAGCACGGGGAAGATGGATGATGATACAGGTGGATAAAATGTGTTTTTATAGATTGCCGTTTTGAACACTTAAATGAGTAATAGAGCTTGTCATCTATTGAATCATTGATGTTTCGACTTGGTCAGTACGCGCAGAGATTACATAACAAATGCCTCACATGTATAACATTCCGTTGTCCATTGTAGATATTATTTTGGAATTATGTGAATTATATTCTTTATTGACGCTAAAAACGAATTCACCGTCACATAAATATATATTATCTTCGATTAAGTCCGATTCGCCCAGCGGCCGCGAAGTTAGGTAAGTTCACATGTATGTATGTATGAATGCTTCTGGGCAAAAGATTTCGAGATAATAGTTGTAGGAAGGAATTTGCGTCCCTGTGGTACGAAGCCTAAAGAATTACAGGATTTCTCCATTAGGCCAAAGCAAATAAAGTTTATGTATGACATCCTCCGCAGACTCCAAATCTAATGTATGTGATTGGGCGAAAGAAAAGGCAAACAAAAAACAAGAGTCCTACAAATTTCGACATCACAAACCTTGTTAAACAAGAAATGACAACTGTTATAACATGTCAACTAATATAACATCCATTTGTCTCTTAAAAATAAAAGTTTTCAATAATTGTACACAACGGTTCTAATTCAGTGAGAACATCACGTATAAAAGCAATAAAATACATCACTGCATCAAAGTAAAAGACAAAATATTAAATCAGAGCATTGCATTGTCTCCTCTCCGGCATGGCAACAAATGTATTTGCCCATCATAATTCGGCATGTTGACCACTGTCAGGGGGCAATAAAACTTATTTTGTTCCAAAGTCAGACGAACGTTAATGCCCGCGCTGATGTCATCCATAAAAATTATTGCTGTGGCCGTACGTACAGCTCTGTCGGAGCGGCAGCATATTAATCACATGTTGACCCAGGTCACTGCTTCAACATCTGTTAGAATCTACGCTGGTGTGGTAATATATTGTTCTGGTTGGTAATCTTTTTAGCTTTGCTCCCTTTTTTCATGTACTGTATAAATGCAGTTGTATGATGAAATAAATAAAGAAATAAGTAAATAAATAATTTTGCTAGCACAATACATGTTAAGACAATTTACAATATTCAGTTATTTGTCTACAATGAATAACTTGAATGTTTATTCTGACAGTTACCAAAGACCATAAATTATATTTATTACACATTTAAGAGGCAAGCAGCCCAATTTTACAGAAAAAATTGCGAGTTTAGCAATTTCTATTTTAAAGTCAAACCACTATTACTGAAGCACCATCGCAAGCCGTATTTCAACACATTAATTTATCTATGTCCTTTTCAATGTCCTTTTATATAATACATTAGGTACTTTATAGTATCCATTTATTTGCAGTTTATAGGATCCATTTCCTTTAAAACATTTTACGGGACAGCTTAGTACAATCCGGTATATCTTTGGAACACCATTATCAATTCAAAAGCTTTTCGTGTCTCTAAGTGTGAGATTTATTTTCCAGTATCTTGGTAATCTTCCTCGCGTTCGACTTAAGGGCAGATTAGATAGATCTCAAAGAACATTGTGCATTCGCCATGTCTAATAGTAATACGCATAATGCCTGAAAAGTATCTTATTTTGACTACAATGTTTGGAGATAACCACATTTGTGTCAACGGCAGCGAGGAATATTCACGAGATTATTTTATCGTTGATAATACCGGCGAACTTTAGCATTTAAACTGGTAACGTTATTAATACATGCCGTTAGGTTGGAAATTAATGGTCGCAGCCATCAAGGCAAATCTGTGCCATATGTCGACTTCCATTCCAAATTTGCAAAATAAATTACATTCATAAACTCACAGCTTTCCAGCACCAGGCTACAGTTCTGCACGTCCATTGGATAATTCATCATGTTCATCATACAACTGGCAACGGTCGTGAGTCTGGAATTAAAATCAATGGGGAAAGTTATGATGGTCTATTATACACTTAGCTTGGTAGAAAATGAGTGAATTCTGGATGAATGGTTCTGCCGTAATGAATCGAAAAATCGCGGTTGCGTGAGCTTCATACTCTGATATTTGTCGTGGGGGGAGGGGTATTTCAGAGCAGGCTGTTACAGAACCAACTGCTACCAAGGACCTAGGACAGCTTTAATAGTACAAAGACAGCTATATTTGTACGACAAATGTATTGATAAGCAAAGGATGCCCTGAATTTGCGATCTTGCAATTAATATCAATGATATGGGTGTATCATTACATAGCACGTCTCATGGTCATATTTGAGTCATCTTAGAAAAGTCAAACACAAGACATCGCAATAAAATATCAAAAGCATCCAATACGATTTCAGAGCAGAAAAACTGGAAATATTCGAATCTGAATACGTCAATCTTTATGAATTGACTTCACATTAGCATACTGCTTCACATTACCACATTTCAATCATGTGTTAGGTATCTAAAACTGCAGAAACAAGCCCAAAGATGAGTCCTTTATTTTATGGGTGGTACCCTAAAATCATCTCAGGGTCCTTCCAGTAACCATTGTCTTTCAACATTTTGGGTCCCTTTGCTCCCTGAGGGTCACTACATGACTATACATTGGGGTAGTGTGTTTTCAACTCAGTATGTGGATAAGTGACTAGAATATTGACTTTGAAAAGTCAATAAGTGAGTAGAATATTGACTCCAAGCCCTAGAACCACACTGGATGCCTTTAAGACTAGTTTACCGCAGGTTGTATTCAATCATCCCGTTTGAGAAGATCTTCATGGCCCTGTTTTTCACGGTGACTTCGTGGAAGTACGACTGTTTCCCGTTGACGAAGTAGGTGTCAGGCACCCAAACTTTGCTGAGATAGTCGTCGGCGAGATCATACGACTCGACATCCCCCGAGAACGATAGACGCTCGTCGTGCCAACTCTGCGACAAATCCATCGTCATTGTGTAGTCCTGCCAGGCGAGAACAGTATTCACATGAGATTCAGTCAATAATTATTCATTCAGGGTACGGATGGTTGGGAGGGGTGCAGGTTTGTGCACTGACATAATAACTTTACTAGCGCACGACAATTGTGTATGTTACAATGTATGGCAACAACTACCGAACATAGTACAAAAAGGAAAGGGTATAGAATGAAAATTAACATCCTAATTACTAAACATCAAGGGATAATACAGTATACAATCAAGTAGCGGACATCAGGTACTTAAGCCTGGGAACCCTTGAAAATTAAAAAGCACATTACTCTGAAGACAAAATGAGTAAATAGTTATTAATAGTTAAATCAATAATTAAACTACCTCAGATATTCTCATGTCTGCTTGTGAACCGAATACATTCTCTGCAGTAATTTCTTGGAAAGGTTACAACTTATGTTGGTTACAATGCAATATTTATCAAAAGTAGTCTGCTATTAAAAGAAAATACCGCAGAGAGATATTGACTAATGTTGCAATATCTGCAAGTCCTTCCAGTAAACCCCATCGGGCCACGGTCTGTTGTCAGAACGCGTTACTGTTACAAATTGACCGTCCTTCCAGGCAGAGGTGAGCTGATAGATCCGCGGACTTTCTGCCAGGCTGACCTGACCTGTCGATGATCAAGGGACTGTCGTGTCTGACTGAAGTGTACCGTCTGTACTACATCACGACCCAAATGTCCCCAGAGGAGATTGTATCATATGGAAACACGCCAAGATTCCGAAAGGTCGATTCGACAATCTTCTTGCCACTATTTATACACGTCTTATTGCCGCATTCAAACTTATGGAACTTTACGATGAATTGAATTCCTTAAGCAAACTGGTTGATGTTAAATGTGCAGAGTTTACTTTAATGACGTTTATTGTATTATTAGTATTGTTATTAGATGGCGAATGTAAATAGTTGTTATGATGTTTGTATTTACAATGTATCTAAGAGGACTCAAAGAAGAGTAGAAGAAGAATGAATCTTTATTCAACTTGCAGACTTACACAGCCTGAATTTTGTTGAATTTACGAACAGTTTAAAACATACATACAAAGTAAAACAAACATAATCAATTATTGACAAGAAAGTACACTTATCATTCGAAAACGCTTGTGTTGGTTGGGATTAGTGAATTGATATAAATATAAAATGTATACATAAATACATTGTATCGTAACGTCGTGGTAAATAAATACATAAATATAGTATGTCCTCCGATCAATGAGCTAATTAGAGGTTCCTGAAATAAGCAAACTCAATTTAAAAAAGTACTCGAGTGTTCTTAATAAGGGAATGAACGGAACACAAGATTTTCTCACTTTTTTGCATGAGCTCACTCGACATTTTCATGACCTTTGCTATCAGTTCTGAATTCACATTCACGCTCGCGGAAGGGTTTGCGCGCTGCTGCATCTGGATCACGGTAAGATCTAGACGGATTGACCTTTCTAAAGATGTTAGAGATGATGGAGCATAACCATATCTAGGGGAGTGTTATCTATCCTCGGGATATAGAACACCGGAGTGTGGTGCCAAATGTTGTTTGAACCCATGTATGTATGCCAAAAAAACAGTTACTCATTCATGACAAGCAACTAGATATGATTTTGCAAACGGTCAGGGGTTTTGTCATCACCTTATATACTGCTTACCCCGATTTGCATCGGATTACGAGCAGCCGCACATGTCAGTGTCATCGTCTCCAAAATCATATCCAGTTGCTAGAGTAAATGTTTTGGGCGTATCTTTGATACCTGGATGTCTAACCTTCACCGACGCATGTATGTATGTATGTATGTATGTAAGTAAGTAGTTAAGTTAAACGCAACACATTGACAGCAAGCACACCGAATTAGCTGTATGCAGATCCTAATAAGTCACTCATTCTGGAGATTTGAATAGATCACTAGCAGTCTAACAGCACGCAAATACTCCTCGTTGTAGTTTGCTAGTTCACAGTTCCATACTTAATTTCAAAGATCACCTAAATTTCAAGCTCATGAAGGTAGAAGTATCTTCCTGCGATTTCAATATCACTGCAAAGAATATTACCAGGCGCACCAATATGGAACAATCGCAAAAGGGCTGACAAACTAATACATGTTCTTTAAGATCAATTATTTTGGTGGCTCTTGGCTGTCTACTTGTCTTAGAGTTGATAAGGCTAAAAGTAATTGCCAAGAAAAAGTTTCATCTAATAGTAGTTTGAAGCAGCGTTACCTACATATTATTTTGTGCGATTATAGATTTGTGTGTAATGCACAGGGCTCGAAGGACTGCTAACAATTTTCAAATATAAGTTTATGTCTTGGATACATAGAATGTATAGTACTAGCCCAGTGGTACAAGTAATAAGCCATCACATTTTGTCTGTTAATGTTGGAACGTACATCTAGTTGCACTGTGACGCCTGTTTAAGCTAATCTACATGTGCTTGAATAATAACCCAGTGGGAAGGGAAATCCCCAACGATGTTTTATCTGCAGCTTACATGCGGCGTGCTCAGAACGATCATTCTATACAACAGTGCGCGTGGTTGCCACTGGCACTAACGTGGATCGTCGGCTATTCTAGCTTACTGTACAAGAAAACCAGCCTGATTTCCATGAATATCATTGCCTCCATGTCAACCCCCTACGTATCTTCAAAAAGAAATATAGGGCATGTTGGGTTGATTTATGGAAGACGAAAACGCGAATGACGCGTTGCGAAAGGATTCTGAATGCTTTAACATGACACATCCGTGTCTACAGGATGATTCTCTGTCAGTTACCATGCCGGTGACAAACTGTACAAAACGAGTTTTTACGTGTAACTTAAAATCACCTCCAGTACCAATGCGGATGTATGTCAGTACAGTGCGCTGCTTACACTGCTGCTCGAATTGTTTCTCTTTTTTCCTTTTCAAAGCCATTGCTTTTATTCATCCTGTGTTGTATTTATCTTAATTAATCTTTTTCATTTCTTAGGCAAGTGAATAGCTGACAGCCTCCAGCCTTCGTTTTAGTTGCAGACTCCACCAGGCTTTTTATTCAAGTATGTACGGATTTCTAATTATACACCAGCTTATCGTAGCTTTCGGGTTATAAATGTATTCTCCGGCAAACGCCTGTAGCTATCAGATCATGGTATAGGATCACAACCCGATATAGATTTTTGAAAAACTTGATAGGGTCTGCAATGGCAGTCATGCCTTCAAATATCAGAGTTATCAACTAAGAATTGTGTTCAAAAACTTGAATTTTCCAAGAACTATCTTTACCTCTAAGCACAGTTGGGGCATCATCGCTAGAAAGCTTTAAGGAACTCCTACAGTTAAATGTGCAAAGATTGAGTGTAACAAGTCGTTCGGTGTAATGGCAGTAGCTAGCTGCCGCCGCGCCGCGTGCATGCGAAGCCGGTGTATTACGACGAAGGCGGTTATACCGGCTATATAGATACAGATACAGAGTATAAGCCAATGAGAAGAGTCCATTTATGGTCAAGACTTAGCGAGAAGCGTCCGATAACTTGACAAACGAGTTGGTAAACGCAGAGTCCTCGCGCTCGATAGCACCGAGGATGCACTTAGTTCATCAGCCGTGTCATGGGCCTTTTATCTACTGGCTGTGATTCATAAAGGCCTTCGTCTCAACTTAAGTTCAGTTCTGGCACAATGAGGTTATCTACTGGAGCAGGCAAAATCGATGGCGTATCGACTGTCTCTGTAGCAGTCCGGCAACTTGAGCAAAACTCCTGCCAAATGATGAGGTCATTGCCTGGCCAGGAAACATGACGTTGGTGTGGGGGGCTACATTTGGGGCGTTTTACACTCGACAAGCCAAGTTTGATTCTATTTGGTAATACTTGATAAGGGGAATACTTGACAAAAACGGATAGGAATTAACAGAACCTTCAATGTCGTATACAAAATACCATCATCATCAGGTTTCGTCATCTTTTGTAGGTGAATATTTTGCGATTAACAATACACTGAGGACCAAAACCTGGGCGCCTGTTTTGTTTGACTTGACATGTACCACACAAGAATGCTAAAGAATAACCTTAGTTGATCAAGATCACCAAGCATACAAGAGTTTTCCCGTTTATCGAAAGTGATATAAAGAAGGGTAACACAGAACATCTGAGATAGGATGACAAACAACTGCGACTTTGCTGCATACTGACGTCACAAATCAATTTCTGGCTTTCAGGAAATCCAGTGGTTTAGCCGGCGATTATTACTTTTCAAGCGCGATATGGATTTCTTCGGGTATCTCGCCATTGGAATCTATCATTGCAGAAGTGTCATGTGTGCATATTCTGTACTTATATGTTTGCAGCTTCTTTATTGTAAACCAGTCACAGTGCTTAAAGAAAAGAAACTATGTGTCAACCTACAATGGTATACTGTAAATGTGTGCACAGAGGTTCGAATACCTATTGAGTTGGAGCATTCACGCTTCTACTCTTGTGGTAACCAAACATATATCAACTCTTACGACTCGAGATACAAATTTGATATAGCATTGAACACTAGTGCGTAGTGATTAACATTTTGCAAATGAAGCTAACATACGTAAGACGCATAGAGCAGTTAAAGCATCGTGGCAATCCACACCCAGCATATCGCAATCAATTAAAACAGTAGCCTCGCTCCTAAAGTACTTTGTGGAGCAGCTACTCTAGAATGGACTTAGAAAACAGACTTCTAGAGTAGTCTGAATCTTGGGATTTTGCTAGATCTTATATTTCCTGATTGCACAACTTTTCTGTGTTTTTTTTTGCGGTCTAAAGGTTAAAATACAGTTAACGTTGGTCAATTTAAAACCAAATCAAAAGCCCGGTCGGGAAGCCTGCTATGAATTCATGGAGGCTACTACATAAGCTATTGAAGCGACACGGTCCATGCCACAGTTAATGAAGTAGATTTAAAACTCCGTGGGCTACGAAGATATGGCAAAATTACAAAACTAGCTGCCACTTCCTGAGAGTAAGATTCATTCGTTACTGTATACGTTACACGCTAGAGTGCATATATTCAAACAATCAACAGCAAATACAGGTATTATTGTGCGATTACATTCAAGTATTTAGTCTGAATCACTTTTCCTGCGGCTTCCAATGATTATTATCAGAAGGACACAGAAAGTATGCTTGTTTTAAGGAAGAACCCATGGCCCTTTCATACGAAATATTGCACTGCCATACATGGAATATGGTGGGCACCAGGAGTTTTCTTTGATAGAGGTAGGCTCAGGCAGGGTCAGAGATTACAGAATATGACGTGATCACGAAAATAATATCTCCTGGCGTTTGAAACAGAAACATATCAGGTGGAAAATCAATGCATCATAAAGTGTCAGAAACGACAAAACATTTGTCAGCCCAATCGTTAAAAATGTAATTATTTCCCGGCCTTGGCAAGAACCGACGGCGTCTCTTCCCGTGGGGAGAAATCAATGGACAGAAACGCATTGCATGAAGTGGTGGCATTTAATCGCAGTCTAAATGACCCTATTATGGTGTAGGTGAATTACATTGCACGGTATATATGTACAACCTACCATATCTTGGTCGGAAATGCTATCGATGCTGGAAACATCTATGGCAATCCCGACCGTCACTGGGGTACCTATTGGGGTACAAATACACAAGTAACATGAACAATATATTCAAAGGTACATCTAAACAGAAAAATATTTTCTTCCAATAAAACAAATGAAAAACAGAAGTTGTTTTCAAGAAATGTTACCTGCGAAATTAGGCCTGAGCCGGTTGTCATAGTTCTTGAAGATAAAGTAGTAGGGCGCTTCATCAAACTCTGTGAAATTACTGTCCTCCTCGTACCTGTAAATAGGTAAGAAGTTTTCAACGTTTGCAACCTCTAGTCGAGTCTGTGACTATTGTAAATGGCAATTTAGACGGGACACAATACACAATATATAACACACACACATATATGATAATGTGTGTGTGTGTGTGTGTGTGTGTGTGTGTGTGCCTGTGTGGTTGTCTGTGTACAGTATTTGCGTCAGAAATGACTAACATTCAAAGCAATGTTCATGTCAAAACCTTACACTTATTATTTACTTTCAACAGAGTAACGTGCTTTCATACACATTAAAGGTCACATATGTTTATCGCCATTAATAAACATTGCCTTTTTAATGGGACCTCTTTGACAAATCGTCTTCACTTTATAGCAGACAATAAAATCAAGGCTCACGTTTGACATCATATTTTCACAACGTTACATGACAAGCAACACTTGTACATTTTTTACGACTACGCTGTTCAAATAAAACATCAAGATTGCTTCCAGTAGATATGGCTATAATTATATTATAATTTTCTACCATGAGACATGTGATTTCTTTGATTGACGATGATAATAATTCCTTTTGACAATAATAGTGATATCTGCTGCTGAGATAAGTTGTTCTTAGCCTAGTTTGTGACATTGAATGTCTTTTGTGTCTTATCTCCTTCTAACATCCGGCCGAAACACGATAAAGCACAACATTAGCACAGATTGCCTTACCAGAAGGTGAACATGCAGCCATTTAGATACATTTGCTAACGACATGGAGAAAGCATTCTCGCTTAATTCTTTCCCTTTCTTGAGGTTGCATAATTTACGATCAACATCCAGACATGTTTTAATCGAAAGCACGTTAAGATACTAAACTCGATGCTCACCTTAACTTTCTGGTATATCCTCGTGCAATCAGAATCACAATGACGAGGAGATTCGTTGGGTTGTTCATGGTGGTAGTCTTGGTGATGGAGGTAACGATGCCCAACTGAAGTGGCAGTGGCTGGTGCAGTGGTGGCTGTGTTGTAGGTAAGGGTGCTTGTGACGACTGTTCCTGTATGTTGAGTAGCTACTGCAGGCCGTGTACAGTACGTGGTGTGTACACACTAGGCGTGAGTGACGGCTGGATTTCCAGGGCGGCCGGGGATGGGTCGTTAGGTCCTACTGCGCATCGAGTCTCTAAAGATCTATCACCTTGACGTATGCTGCATGCCGCCGGTTTGCTTTGCTCGGCGATAATAAGCCTCCTTGTGGTTGCTGAATGTATCCTCGTACTAACCAATGAACTTCGTCATTTTTAGTCACGCTCAATCAAGCCTAATTACAATGAATTTAATGAAATGTGCATCCGTATGTTAGCAAATGATATCATTATCAAACCACAGTTTTTACTGTCTGGGTAATTCGTCCGGAAAAAATTACGGTCTGCCAGACGTCTGTCAATGTACATTTCCCATGTATCATTACGAAGAAGATATTATCATGATTGACATTATAATTACAAGGATTTGACGGAAAGTAATAGAATACACCAACATGACAGCAACGTAACACATGTCAAAACAAAATAATTACAAATGCATTACACACCAGGCACGGGTACGCAAATCCCCTGCTTATGGCGTCGCTGGCGGTTCACCCCTCTGTGTATAACTGGGCATCTACGCCAGAGAACCTAATCATTGCCTTATAATTGACTGTCGCGTTCTTTTTATTCATTGGTCCCCGAGGCACCCTTGTCGAGCCTCTGCGGCAGCCTGCAGCGGAGCGGAAAAAGAGGGGGAAGCTGCTAGCGGCTAATTTGGAATAATTTGGAACTACCCGATAGACCAATAGGCCTAACACAACTGACCTACATGTAAAAAAACACACAAAGCAAGCCTTGTGTTTTCATACCTTCCTAATACAGAAGAATATACATATTGTGCTAAATTCGATAAATCTGGGTAGCTTATATAACGTAAAACATCATATCTAGAGCATTTCATGATAAAGTGAAAGTCGTCTTCAATATCCTTTGTATATATATATATATGGCAAGAATGTGACAATCCTATGTGACAAAGTTGCTGAACGATACGCAAGTTCTGTAACATACTGGTTGTTGTACTGGCCGAACAGGCTTTTCGTACTTTTAATATTGTATTTTCTATGTATATGCAGTGTATTGAACTCTCTTGATAATATTCTCAAGTTTTTGAATTGTAAAAGAGTCTACAATTCAGCCATTTAAGCTGCCATCGACTTTTAAACCTGTATGTCTATTTATTTGTTTATGAATAAACCAGTCATCATCATCAAGAAAGGTACCGAAAACTCTCTGGCCAAAAGCAGCCACTGGCCATTATGCAGTGATTTACATAATTATGTCCAAGGAACCCTAATTTCTATTATCAGCGTTGAGCATTGCAGCTGCTCTGCCTCTTCAGAAGAGAACAGAAGACGAAGTGATCTGACATGAATGAAATGTCGTCCTCTCGATGCACAAGGCCAGGGCATGGCTCTTTGACAACCAGCATCATGCATCTTGACACCTACTTGCTCGGATATTTGTGACTCTTTCTCTCCACCTCTCCCGTTTTAACCTAAGGTAATACTGACTTAATTTTATGGATGACATCCTCTGAAGACCCCCAAACTAGTGCGCGCGAGCGAATACAAAAAATGCAGCACCCCCCCCCCCCCAAATGCTGCTTAACCACAGGCAATGCAAAGCTGGTACTGTGAATTTGCAGCAGTATATAGCGACTTTTATGACAAGCCGGCACATGCTGGCCTTTGCGACAGTTATGCCACTGTACTGACATCTTGAGTTCCGTGGAGCTTCGACAGCCTGTGCACATAAATTCTGGCAGATTTGATGTAATTAGGTTGTATAGGGTCTCCCGACATTTGCTTGACCATGCTTTAGCACCCATAAGATATAGGAGAACATCACTGATGATCTCCACTCATGCCCAGCAAAACCGTCTTGTCCAAATGACCACCCATTGCTATTCAACATAAACAACACTAACAGCGTATCCATCAGCAATACTTCTTACTGATATTCTTCGTCCTCCTCTAAGCACTACGAGTTGTTTTTGCCCATCAAGTAGAATGTGTCATATTTTTCTTTATTCGTGTGGCAATTTTGGGGTATTAACTGAAAATCTCTTAATGGGTCGACCCAGTTCTGTACAGACATTTCGGTAAAACCCAATGGATAGTATCGAAGGACATCTTCCCACTAAGGCCACACCAAGCAATTTTTATGGATGACGTCCTCGCGCGCATTGATTTTGACCTGTTTCCAGAAGAAGAAGAAAAAAACAAGAAATTCCGCTTCCTGTAACTATGACCAGAGTCACGACAGTGGGTATGGGAAGATGTGATGAAAGGAAAAAAACAGGACAGGAAGACAACTGCTGTTCCTCTGATTTCTGACTGTTTTCTGGATAAATAACAGACTTGTTGCTAGTTACACTATTGTCCTCTCTCATTTAATTCCTGTCCTAACATTTGTCGTCCCTTTGTATATTTTAGATATACGCATCTTGCTTTTTCTCGGACCTTTTAATTCTTGAGTTTTTTTTTTTTTTTTGCGGTCTCGCATTAGATTTATAGTTTCCAGAGGACGTGATCCACAAAAATTGCTTGGTGTGGCCTAAACGCCATGTTCGGAATCAATTGGTGCCCCTGTCTGCCCAACACAGGGTCGCAGCTGTGGGTTCAATCGCGCTCATCTGTCCTGCTTAAGCATCCTTGAGCCATAAGGCCGTCCGTGCCACCCCAATGTCAGCCCGAAGAAGATTCAATTATCATTTTCCCAGATAACGCGAGGATCCACGATGAATGTTTTAACTAGTGCGGAAAAGAACCTCTTGAACCCGCAGTGAACGAAGGAGGTTCGAAAATTAACATCCAGTTTTTGTATTTTTTAAACTTGTGAGTGACCTGCAGGTTTGTAGCTATGATTTCGGTAACAAAGGGAAGATATATAGGAAATCGACAAAGGTGTCTTTTTGATGTATAGCTAGAAGAGTTAATGTGATAAAGGCACTGATATGCAAGGCCAGTAAAAGCATGGGACTTTAAGGCGGTCTAGATCTTAGGAAGGAATGCCAAGTGAAGAAAGGAATAGGTGGTTAGAAAATGGCTATAGTACAAACAAACGCAAACATGTACACGCAGACATTCACACGTTTTAAGGTGACAATTAGTTATGGATGCTCCATGCAGCATCATAGTACATACTGTAAGTCATTATTCACTTGCCTTCGTCCTAGAATGAAAAGGTGACTAAGAGAGAGATTGCTGCCTGGACGAAAAGTTGGGTTCTTCCTGCATATCTATCCATGCCGATCGATATCTGTCGCCCATTTATAAAGGCTTTTACCGACAAGATATATGTGGCAACGTGGCTGCAAAACCCTTCTTAACGACTTCAATCGTCAAGTGTTGGTCTAGGAAACGCTAAAACCTACAATTATTCCCACTTTATCCAGATATCAGAGGATTTGTGATGCATACATACAGCCCACGTTCCGACCCTGTGCCGTTAGTTGAAAGATGCGGTACTTTTTGCATGTGGAAGTGTCTTTTGACTAGGGAACTGGGGCACTGGGTTACTACAAATTACCGTAACCATTGCTTGAGCCACTTTCTTGGGATAAAACAGAGGCGATTGTTATCGGTGAAATGTGTCTGGAGGCCAGGGAAAAGACGTTTGATATGCAAGAGATATGAGCGAGATTTTGTACTCACTGTGAAACAGGAAACATTGATGTAATGGTAAAGTCATCCATGCATGATAAATCATAAATATTGCAACTCTACAGTATCTGAATTGAAAATCGTTAAAGCTATCCCCGTTTATAAATTTCGAAATAAACAATAAAGATTACATTAGAAATGATTCCAACATATCAACTCAATATGTGTGGGTCAAAATAAATAGTTAGACCTCGTTGGAAACAGTTGTGATTGTATAAGTAGTTTAAGGTAGATAAAGTAGAGTTAAGCTTATTTTGAGTATTTCAGAAGGCACAAATGGCCACTAATCAGGTTAGGATATCGATTGGGATTCTGACGAATCGGGTTGTCCTTGCTGCTCCAGTGGTTTGTGTCTTAAGGATCTCTTTTGTGACAGAACATGCCGAGAATTCGTGATGTGTACGGTCGTTGCTTTTGTGTGGTAGAGAGTAAGGGCTTAGCAAGGAATTTTTATGGATGACATCAGCGCGCGCATTAATTTTCGCCTGATTTTGGAAAAAAAAACTAGACATTTCGGTGCCTCCTGAAAGTGATCAACATGCCGAAAATGGGCAAAGATGTCTGATGCCATGCCGGGACGTGGATGGCAGATAAATATGAAGAGAGGAGACAAGACAAGTCTCTAGTTTATAGTGTCGCATACAATGGTTAACCGTTACTATTTGTGTGCCATCTTGACAATACACAATTGCACATATATTTACGCTGTGCATGGCATATGTCATTGGAAATAGATATGACTCAGAATACTATACGTTGTATATTACCATTGCCATTGAATAATGTACACACGACATCGTAAAGTTCCTTGCAAAAAAAGACCCCTTTACTAAGCGGCAAAGTACAGGTTGAATTGACAAAGTGCTTCCCCTTGTTGACTCTGTTCACCTCCTTACCGTGGGAACGGCGGCAAATGGGAAAAATTCGTACAACGCGTGCTGATGTAATATCGCAGGTCAGGTTAGGAGTTCAGAATCCATACAAAATGACATTACTAAAAAAAAAACATGAGCCCAAACATATGAGGTCACTATATTTCTAATTTGTTGATCGTACAAGCTACACGTAAGCCAGATCACAGACACAACTTTAGAGTCAACACGCTTTATTTCGCAGAGTGACGGCAGAACTACGTACTCCAGATCTGGGCCTGTCGGAGCACAGAGATTGACTCTAGTTGGACTGTATGGTCTGTTGGATCCAGCTCTTGAAGGCGGTGACCCGGGTGTAGGCGGAGGGCTTGTACTGCGCACCGCACGGCTGTTCACCCCAGCTGACGATCCCCTGCAGTTCCCAGCGAGTTCCGTCAGGGGACGGGCAAATAAACGGACCGCCGGAGTCTCCCTGGATAGGAAACATATAAAGGGCCTCAATACTACCAAAATTTCGGGAAGTGGATATTGGCGAAGTGGGGAAGTGGGGATTGGGGAATGGGAAGGAAGGGACAGTTTAGGCATGAAAAGGAAAATTGCACAGAAGATAATAAACTGGGAAACAAACAGACAACAGACTTACGTTACAGGCATCGTCCTGTCCATGGTCATACCCTGCACACACCATGATACTGCTGACCATCTCACTACCCCAGATGTAGTTCTGGCTGCAGTACCCGGGGTCCAGTATGGGGGCGTACGTCCACTTCAGAGTTGCGGAAAGAGGAGCCTGCCCCCCTAGTATTAGCCAGGCAAAAGGTTTAGGATTCAACATGGGCATTAAAACATTATTCTACCACGAATAGAATCAACAGTGACAGTATAAGATGCAAAACGCGACCTACAGGTCGCATACCTACTTCAACAGCAATATGTATAAGTGTAAGCTTTTTATAACCTTCCTCATCGCATCACTACAGTACACCTTGATTGACCAACCCAGACGGGGGCGTTATAAGCTACCAACCACCTTTGACCTGGAAAGCAACATGGTTCCTCAATTATCACGAAGAACATCAAAGGACCTGTCGAAAATTTGGTGAGTCTAACCCTTGAGTTGGAGAATATTTTCCTTTGTTTACATGATATTGCATGCATAACTATTGTATATATAAATATCAATTTTCTTGCTGGTACACCGTACGTACAGTACTGGGACTGGATGTCGTACACCCCCCATCCGCTCACGAGACAGTTGGACGTCCCGACGCTCGCGTCACGGTCAGGCAGGCAGATGTTGTTGACATAGTTGCTCACAGTTGCAGGACTGAATAGGAATAATTATAGTCTACAGGCATTGTGCTTGCAACGTCCGTGACGTGAACAGACGATGATATATATTGTAACTTTTGCTGTCAGACAAAAAACGCCTAAGTACAATGCCAAAAACTTGTGTTGTGAACTAGGCTTACAGTAATATTCCATGTAGACGTCAGTTTATGAATAGTGCATTCGTCTCATCACTAATAGGTACTGTTAGGCTGAAAGTTACTCTCCAAGCAGAGGTTTGGGTTTTGTATTATTTTAGCGTGTTTTAGACTTTTTTATCGAAGTTTCTTTCTTGCATTGCCATTGGAAAAAGATTCCAATGCATAAAGAACCCCCGATAAAAAAGCCTAAAACACGCCAAGAATAACCCAAAACCCAAACCTCTGCTGGAAGTCCACGGTGCCCTGCTCGAAAGCGAAAAAAACATGCAGCACTTAAACTACCGGTACCCGACCGGACATCGGTTCGGAGATGTTACTGTAGCATTACCGTAGTCAGTGACTAACCTGGAGAGTTTCATCAGCGCGACGTCGTTGCGAGGGAAACCCGCGGAGCTGGCGTGGTAGCTGGGGTGCATGATGATCTTGGAGACGGAAAACTCCTGCTCGCCGTTTTCATAGTACTGCAGGGACGCCAGACCTACACGGACCCGCCACAGGCCGGGGTTGGTCATTCTGTTAGGACACAGTTAATTGAAGGTGAGGGACAATCGTGAATATGTCGTACCAACAAATTTAAAAGTTGTTTTCCAACATAAGAAAAGTCGCCGTACACTGTTGTAGGCTGAAGATGGCAAAGCTTCGCTCGCGCTGAAAATTGTATTGGGCAAATGTGGTCACGTTTTAGAGTGGTCCTTATTGATGAGTACGACTATGACATGATATTTCTTGTCTTAAAGCATTATTGATACTGACGTTCTAATAATACCGTTAGAAGTATAGCATCTTCTTCGTCACTACCTTTTTTCCTACCAGGCTTCCTACAATGTACAGGTATCATACATTATCTATTAGATGAGGCGGGGTGGCCTACCCTTCCACGCAGTGTCCAGCAGTGATGACCCACTGGTTGTTGAACAGAGATCCTCCGCAGCCGTGAGACCCGCCCTGGGCGAGGTTCTGCAGACTGACCTGCCACGGGAACATGCCCTGCGAGCCGTACTGCCCGCCGATGATGCGCGCGTTCAGACCCACGGAGGGCACCCCGCAGTTGGCGTCGTTCTGCCCGCTACTGCTAAGGCCGGTACTGCCACCGCCGCCAAAAAGCCACTGAGCCTCTGTGAGAAGAAAAAGACTGTTGTCACATTCTTCGGAAAGGACTGATGTACACATACCCCTAGCCAGGATTTTGAATGGGGGTTTCTTCCCACTGTGTGAGGGACCAGCGAGCCTAGGCGCAAAGCGAGCACCGAAGGCGCGAGGTTCCTAGGGGGGTCCGGGACCCCAGAGGTCCGGGGAACCTTCCCACGTCCTCCCTGGCTACTGGCATGGCACACATATGACAAGAAATATAAATGGAACCTATATATGATACACAAAGATTGGACTGATAGTAGACAAAGACTGACCATATGGAAAAGAGGTAACATACACAACAAGGATGTATTCTATCTGTTGTAAATTGCATACATATATGACAACAAACTCATATTAGGATCTACGTATATTTTGAGAAAATTTCTACTTGCAATTTTGGCAGAGGATAGTTCGTTACACTTGTGGAACAACATACCTCCGGGTCGTGCTGCGGACAGCAGTATCGTAAAAGCCAACCAGAACATGTTGCCTGTTCCCTCAAGTCCTTCTGGCAAAACTGGCAGGATTCTTCAACAAAACGCCGACATCCAAGGTCCATCCGAACCTTTATCTGCCCTCTCAAATATTGTTTCTTCCGGGCTTTTGGATTGGATATCTTAAGCTACGTCATAAGTTCATGAGAAAGGTCACACATGTTGGCTTGGGGTAGATGGTGTGTAATAATTAGCCTCTACCAGGCATCGGGAGGCGGCTAGAAAGAGTAGAAATCGGCCAAATAGAGAGATAACATGCCAGGGGAGTTTGTCTGCTGGGAGAGAACATTTTGCCGCACCCGAAGTCGCCATTTCTTTGAAGTCCACTAACCGCTATCTTATAGTTGCCAAGTAGCTAAATTACTCTTTTATTACTTTGCGACTGGGCCGTGACGGGTGCTGCAAAACGTTGTCTCCCAGCAGACAAACTCCCCTGGCATGTTATCTCTCTATTTGGCCGATTTCTACTCTTTCTAGCCGCCTCCCGAAGCCTGGTAGAGGCCATGTAATAATGACCCACGACAATGTAGAACTTCATCTCTTTACGTTTATATAAACAGGTATAAAAGGTATACAATATTTTTTAAAATGGCAGAAATTGATATTGAGAGAACGTGTAAATAATGCGCATGGGAAGTGGAAGACGTTATCAACCATTCAGAAGCATTCTTTACACTAGACTAAGTATCTAAATGGAACCTAGCGGTTCTGTCCGGAATTACATCATACGATATAAAGTCCTCACGTGAAAAGCTTTAGATAAACTGTATGTTACGTAATGCACATGAGAAATGTATATCGCCTGTCTTGTCCGTTGTAACTTTTGATTTTGTACGCAAACTCTTTGCAGTTCATGGAGTCTTATCCCTACGGTAAGGTTTGCTTTTTGGTGTCACGAATAAAGAACTATTAGTATCGTTGCATTATATTTGACCGTTATATGCGTATGCAGGAACTCATGTGTGAATAACATGCATGATAATACATAAGGTATAGAATGTTGGGTATAACGATATATTGTCTACAAATAGTAAGATTGGTTCATGAATGGACTTTGCTGTCACCGCTAATCACTCCATCGCCCACGGCAGAGGAGGTTTCAAATCACGGGCCACCTTCTTCTGCCACCAACTGGCCACAGAATACTTGCACGTTGGCTGCAGTGCAGTTGTCATTTCCTGCAGGTAACGCATAGCACAGTGTTTAATACTCAACCCTACTTACATTGCAAGACTGTTCAAACCAATTAACAAAACTTTGGTAAGTCGCTGGATTATACTGTGCTTTGTTTATTACTATGCATTCTGTGCCATTGAAAAGCATGTCCCAAGTACGAATACGAACAGCCATTATTTGGGTGCTTTATTCAGACTGCATGTAGGTAGTGCTTACGTGATACAAAGCCATAGTTCCTTGTAGAGAGCAACTTCAGGAGAGAAAACATTCGCGTATGATTTCTTTATGTACACTATCAAGACTAACCTGTGCATCCGCCATACTTTCCGAAGGCCGTGTTGCCGAAATGGTCGATGAAGTTTTGTTTGACAGTCTGTCTGGACTCCTCATTCTCGCAATGGCCTTCATAGTACTGGTACTCGCTGCCTTTCTGGACATCGGCCACAGTGACTGTAGAAACGTGTAAGTTTAATTCGATGAAGAGTTTGGTGTTGTTAAGACAAAAGTGTATACAACGACATTAATCTGTTTGAGATTTGTAAAAAAAATCATATCCGTACGACTGTTTAACTCTTGTCACGCGGCACGGGGCCGAGTTATCCCTAATATGGGGTAGGGAATTTTCCCGACCAGCCTTCGTAACCCCTGCTTCTCCTATTGGGTCAGTTAGTCCTCACTACTTGTGAGAATTTGAGCTGGTCTCAATCATGATGTTTCTGACTCAGGGAGAAGAGCTGCTGTTACAGTTCTACTCGGTAACCCGTAACCCACGTCAGTGGATCAAACCATTCATAACCTTGCAGTGGCCTAACGGCCGTGTAACGTGGTGACCATTAAGTACAAAAAATACTGGATGGGAGTTGAACATGCCCTATTGTTACACAAATAGTCTCGACGCGCGTGGTCGACACAAAAACCGTGCCTAATGTACCATTCTCAGTAATGCTACACAGTTTCTCCTGGCCAGTCTTGACTTGAAGGTGCTACATGGGGGTGCTGCATACCTGTACAATCCGGCCATTTGGTTGCCATGCCAGGCGGGTCTGTTCGCCACTCCGAATTGGCACCGCAGACGTACAGGCGAGCTGGTTCCGCCGAGAAGTCATACGGCTCCTCGCACTGCACGGTGCAGAACTGGCCATAGAGCCACGCGTCACATGACAGGGCACCGTTCATTGGTGGATCCTGGTGCGGACACCTTAAAGCTATAGACGCTGAAAGATTCATGAAATAAAACAGGTTTTAACGCGTAAAATGACGCAACAGACAAAAATATACGCACGCAAGCACCCAATCAGTTATAATTTCTATGTCTATCGAGATACTAGCTACATAAAAAAAAACGAATCAAAAATTTCAAACTTAAATAGAAGGCTTATAAACTGTGAGAGAACCATTATTGAGTAAGCCCGATGTCTATGTACAACGTACGTTTTGCATTTCGACGTTTTGTGGCACAATCAACAGTGCCTTTGACTGGACGACTTACAGATTTCACATTGTGGCACATCGCAGTACTCCCAGCGTTTTTCAGCGTCTGTTGTGTAGCACCAGACGCCATGAGAGTCGAGGGGATTACGGCAGTAGTTGCTTTCCAGCCCCGATGAAGGGTAATTCTCTGGCCCCTTACTGTGCTCGTGCGGACTCTGACTATCCCACCGCTGACAGTGCCGGCCCGATTTGGTCGTGCTCTTCCTCCCTCGGTACGACGTGCCCTTCCCTTCCTGACAGGTTTCCCCTGGTTTCGGTAGTTTCAATAGATTAAATTGATGATAGAGACAATATGGTAATTAAGTGTGTGTGTGTGTGTGTGTGTGTGTGTGTGTGTGTGTGTGTGTGTGTGTGTGTGTGTGTGTGTCTCTGTGTGTCTGTGTGTCTGTGTGTGTGGACCTCATGGTCGCTCAACAATCTCCATCCAGTGAAAAAAGGGTATGATCAAGTCCATTTAGTAACCTACCCGTTGCGCTGTCTGTCTGACGTTCGCACTGCGGATGTGAGAGCAGGAGGTTCTTGTCCTCAGGCCAGCAGTGTCCGCACCAGCCTCCACATCGCGCTGTGGCAACCTGAAAAACAAATAGCTCTTAAACATTTGAACCATTCTTCCAGCATTCATCAGCATGACAACAGGCGTTAAACGTGCCTCTCTATTCTGCACATAGTGATTACACAGCTGTTTCAAAGATTACTCACAATATAAAACATTAATCTATGGTAATCTGACCACCAACAATAATTATCAAGCAATATGACGTAAAATAACGTGAGCGTAAATCAGCTATATTCTAAATGTGCGATTTTGTATCACCTTCACCACCCAAATCTGCATTTCTAGCATCTTTTTCATTCATTTGACGCATGGCATACCTCTCTAGCATCACGTTGTAGGCAAGGGACTCTTTACCTTTCGGTCCTCAGAGATGAACATGTCATTGATGGCGATATAGTCCGGATGTCGCTCCTCCATGACCCAGTGGACGCCAGGTGCCAGCTCTAGCTCAGTTCCCGTCAGGTTCACCTGAAACGTTCCCTTGGCACATCCCTGTTTCCAGGAGTAACAGTCACCGGCCTCCGCATAAGATACATTGTTGTCACCTGGTCAGATACAAAACGCCATTTGATAAATTGAAACTCAACTGAAACCCATTCAACAATCAGATCTGCTACCTAAACAGCACATTTAAAAACAACATGTTAACAGTACATGCTATAATTGTGCGTAGTCTGTTTGGCATACAACATGCAGTGTTGTTCATCTATCAAAACAACATGAACATTTCATCATTGAATAATGACAGTGCAGCATATCATTATATCTGACCTGATGGCTAAATACACACTGACAGTGTTTATGAAGCTGCTAAAGTCCGTACTAGCTGCACTGCAAATTAGCAAAAAATACATGTATAATGATATCCTTGGAATGACTACCTACCAATGGTTCGGGCAAAGGTGTAGTCATCCCGGATAACCTTGATCCTTGAGTTTTCAAATTTGATTCTAACCTTACTGAACGTTGTGGTACCGGCACGACTAGAATATGGATTCTGGGGGATTCAATACAGGGTTGTGATATTTTAAAATATTGTACTGAAGGAAACACTCTGGACATGAGGTTTACTTTACTCATTGTGGCACTTGCGTAATATTAACTCTGTGGCTATTGGCAGCCTGTGTAACACAAACTCTCACTCTCCAGGGCTGTATGCAGCCCGTTCACCATAGAATTTAAGCCTGGATACTGGTTCATATAAGAAGAAAAGCTCACGATTCTTTATTACTTTGAAAATCAGTGTATATGGTAGGAGCTCTCAGACTGTTACTATCAAACGCATTTGCAACAGACTTGTTCGTAGTACAGTTCCCGTACTATCAACAGGTGCTCCATGTTAGCAGAAATGTATAATTGGATCAATAGAATTGGCATGCGTATGTATCTAGTGTTGGCCATCAAGCGTCTAGGGGTCTGACCAGAAGAAGGGCTGCTAGCATATAGAAGTGATTTTGTCAGGCTAATTCTTCTTGTGTTAATCTCTCACCTGTAACGGGCCGTCGCATTCTCCTCCAAAGGCGTCCGTCAAACGATCGGCAAAGATCATGGCGTAGTTACTCTCCGGACCAGACGGTAGGGACAGGAACTCTTGTGGGGTTCCGGACGCCATGTTGTGGCAATAGACGCGGATGGATACATCTGTGCACGTTGAAAAAGGGTAGAATGTGTACTCCCCATCCGTGTCGGCCAGGTGGTGGGACTTCACTTCTGCGCATGATGCAGCCCTCACACGATGCAGCCCTGATGCCCTGACGGTAGCTGTGAAGAAAAACACCCTTGATGAAAGTAGACGTTGTTGCAAGTGATTACACGAAAAAGGTAATTCGGTTAGTTGGTTACTGTGCTTACATACAGGAATATATGAGATATTTCGCATATCAAAACGTGCCGTGAAATGCAAAATTGTAAACTTGATCATTGTTCGGCGAAATCATATGTATAAGTATCATATTGTATTACATTATATCGTGTTATGTCGGATCATACAATATTACATTTTATCTTTCATCATACAATATCTGCCAGTAACAACGATACTCACGGGGACACTTGGGTATCGCGCAGTAGTTCCACCTTTCCTCAGCCGAAGTCGTGTAACACCACGGGCGAATGTCGGTACCACTGTTGGGGTTTCTGCAGTAGTTGTTGGTGAGGTTAGCGTCGGGGTAGTTGTCAGCTGTGTACGTGTGTACGTGGGGGGTCTGTGATGACCACTCCTGACATGTCAGACCTGACCATGTCAGATTGGTTTTTCCCCGATATGACCCTCCACTGCCAGTGTAACACTCTGGAAAAAGGACTAGCATTATGCTACAGTCACATTTTTAAATCTTTGCCCTTGTTAATGTGTTTCCGCTCAGCACTGCTAAATGAAGGAAGGATTATATCTTCCTTCAACAAGTCGATCTGGAAATTTTGAAGACTGCGCTTTAAACTGAAATGTTTAAATGATAATTGAATGTTCATAGATTGTTTTTTTTTAACTTTTTTAATTTAAGCATGGACAAAGACAAAAAAGCAAGTCTATGATTACATGCAAAGTGTTTTCGTCAGGTGTTAATGCATTAGCTCAAGTCTAATGTTGAAATTCTGTTCTCTCACCTCTCGCATCCATGTTTTGAACTTCTTGACCGACCTTCTCCAACTCTAAAGAAGGTAGATAATATAGCTAACTGTTAGTTAATTTATAACAAAGTTAGAGAGATAGAAAGATAGTCATTAAATGTAATGACCGTGGTATATGCTGCTCGATTATTTTTGCAGGAGGTTAAGTGTACAATAAATGCAACTTTGCGGCCGTTGTTATCCTTTAAAAAACGAGCTGTAATGGTGTCCATCAAAAGACAGAACCCATACCGCCGCCACACTTCGGTACAGGGCACCAGTCCCAGCGTTGATCAGGATCCGATGTATAGCACCAGACCGCGTCTTCTCCGTCAGGGTTGCGGCAGTAGTTTTCCTCCAGCCCGGCCGAGGGGTAGTTGGATGGTGTCCGTGTGTGCTCGTGAGGCGTTTGGCTGTCCCAGCGCTGACAACGCCTCCCCGATACGGTCGTGAACCACTCGCCTCGATAGGAAGCGCCGCTGCCCTCTTGGCACGTCTCATCTGAAATAAGGAGTATTACTAACGACAAAAAATTATGCTATCAATTGGTATTTGTCATTTCGCCATTACCTAATGTACTAACTTTGTGCATGCATAAGACTGGTGTCAGGATATATCAACTAACAAGAATCCGGAGATCTCATACCTCCATGAAATATGTACATGATTTGGGGGAATTTGCCTCATTGCTTATGGAAATAAGGTCGTAAATAACATAATTTAGTTTAATCTATGGTTTTTCCAAACTCAAATTACAATGTTTTGCGTGTGAAATTCCTATCCGTTGGCAGTATTTAATTTCAACATGTCCTCATTAATTATTCAAATGATCTCTATGCTATACATGCTAATAATACTCACCTGTGACACAGCGGTATGATACCTCCAAGTACTTCTGCACCCCGTGACAGGGATCACCGAAGACGTCGTTGCTCGCTGCCACTGTGCACTGCTGACTGCCCTGGCAGGCGGCCCTCACCTCGGCCAGGCTGGTGTCTGCGCGGCAGTCATCTCTACATGTGGAGCAGGGACAGGAGTGGGAGATGGACGTCCGTCCGTAGGTCGCCTCCACAATGAAGAGCGTCTTTCCGTCCGAGCAAGACAGATGTAGGGTGTCCCTCTCGCAGGTGGTGGCTGTTTCTGTATCAATTGAGAAAGAGGTGGGAAGGCAACATAAATGAATGATCCGGACTGAGTTTAGCTGAAGCCATGAGAGCAGCGGAAGACAGGGCTGAGTGGCCAGGAGGATAGTCGATGAAGTCATGGTGCCCCAACGACCCTCAACGCCATTTTTAGGCAAAAAAGCTACATTTTGCGATTCAAATTGTCTGAAATCAAAATATATCTAAGAATAATCAGAACGACGAAACTTGTTAGAAAGAAGTTCGTCAATTATGGCCACGAATGAGATCATTTGCTATTTGCTACTTGCCTGTCTATTATTGTGGAATCCCATTTTTAAGATCATACCTTGCGAAAGAAATTCGTATTTCACCACAAAGTGGCTATCAAATGATGAATCACTGCGGAACCTTAGTATCATCTTATTAGTGGAGGACCTGAAAATAAAGGTAGATAAGAAGTAAAACATAACATGTCAGCTAATGTCCATTTGACCAATGATCCATTGTCAAAGAATGCTGATCATGACATGTAATTTCTTCTGCATAATCATTGTGATGGCTTATATTATTGATTCACTCCTTTGCAATACATGTACAAATACACAATAAGTGTACAAATGCATGATGCAACTGATGCTAAGTTAGTTACACTAACGCTTTTTACACGTATATTATTTCAAAATCATATTATTTCCTGTAAAGTAAGACTTACGTGATGACAGGATCCCGTAACGGTGTACAGTAGCGGCCCAACAGCGGTGACGTCACCTCCCCTCCGTCCCGTACTTCCAGCCAGTCGTACGGACATCCGATCCAAACGTCGAAATACTCCGACTTCTGTGGATCAATGATAACGTGGGAAACGTATCGATAACGGCTCGATGATGATCAAGATCAAGTTGTTAAAAAAAGGAAATCACAACGCTATATCTTCTTAGTGTTGAGAGATAGAATTTCCAGTTGTTCCATCTCAAAAAGTGCATCGATTTTTCAACTGCATCCCTTCTTAGAAATTCAGCGGATAGTGTAGAATTCCTGGCAATTTTGATCAATCACTTAACCCAGTCCCACGAACCCCCCAAAACGCGATTGGTTAAAAGTGCCAGGAATTCTACACTATCTGCTGTCTCTGTTGCTTTCGAACAAAGTTTTAACTATCTGTAACGTTATATGTAAACTATCAACATAGATTAAGCTTCATATATTTCATGGAGGAAAATTCATAGGTAACGTAAGCATCATCCCTGTCTCACCATCTGAGGTATTATCAAGTGGACCTTGATCGTGTGGCCCACTGGAGCGTGAAGGAGCCAACTGAACACGGTGTTGGGAGGAGTCATCTTCCCTGGTATCTTGATATTCTGGGGTGTCACCTGTCCGAAGGGAAACGGCTCTATGGTGCCTGAGGCAGGTGCGGTGATCTCCGTATAGTCTGCCGAGGCTGCCAAAATGTTCAAAGTACTTATTACTCGATGTATTATTAATTATTCAAATTGATTTGCATTATGAATGGCAGTTTGTTTAAAGTCAATTAAAGCAAAATATGATTACAGATATTCACTTGGTTAGGGCAATAGTATAGCTTCAAAGGATAACTACTAAAATTCTGTGCAAGGAAGAGAAAAATGACATAAAGACAACCATTTTAGTCTGCCTTGAATTTGTTTCTGTTAGCTTGAAAGGTTAGAATGACTTACCATGGCAAAATGGAGCCCACACACGTTTGTCCGTAATGGTTGGATTGACGGGACAGCTTTGCAAGTCAACCTATCACAACAGCAGAATTGATGATAATCAAGCACAGTCCAACAGCTGAAGTATATAACTGTGAACCTGAATGCTCAAAATACGCCACCTTCTGGGGGTGTGGCGTGAGAAACGGGAAAAGGAGATAGAATATACATGTACATCGGGGCCTAAAAACCCTCCATGAAAGAGACGGGGTCGGTACTAACTTCCAATCACATTTGGCCCGTTGCGCACGTCACACTTTCGGCAGGTCACGTGTTCTGAAAAATTCAGGTCCTCACTTATCCTGAAGAAGACCAGAAGTACCAGTTGAAAAGTTGTTGAGGGATTTCGTGTGATGAAATCAGGTTTAATTGTTCGTTTGTACCTTGCAGTTCTTGCAGCAGGTCTGGCCATCAGAGCACTCCGCACCGTGTTTCAGTTTACATATCTGGCCGTCACAACATGGATCACTCTTCAGGCAGTTCTGTACTTTGCACAAATGCATAAGACGCATAAAATGCATAAAATATGTATTATCTTGCAACGAATATGTAGTTATGGCGTAATACATTCACAATGCATTATACATGGTGTTTTTCTGTCATTTTCGATGAAGATTGTACATTCTATAGCCAAGGGTGTACTTAAGTGTAAATAATCAAGAAAGGGCTTACAAGATTTTTGTAAAATTTTGTTGAACATAGCCATGAACTAATGAGCCCGACAACGATACCATGTGCTCGTCAAGAAAAAGGTTACTAGTATTTTTAAATACTAGTTAAATTAAAATTTAGATACAGGATGTCAATTCTTCAGAATGAGATTGATTTGAATTAGTAGGTCTGTGAGATGTAGGAGTGAAACCGTCAGTTCTTACCTGGTCCGAACCACAGTCACATTCCTCCCCGTGGTCAAGAATCCCGTTTCCACATTTGTACACCTCCTCCTAAAAAGGCAAACCAGAAATTTAACGTGATCCTTGAAAAGAATTACATCCGAAATAAAATACAAGAGACAATTCTCCATAATGTGACAACGAGTCCTTTTATAACACATAAGTATAACTATATCATGATTATATGCTATGTTAAAATGGCAATGTAACCCATACTTGTGGCGGTTTCTTCTCCAAGCAGGCAAAGTTGTTTTCCCTGATGCCATCAAAGAACGCTTGGCCAAACGACTTCGGGTACCTAGAGTAGAGTAGAACAAACACGAAATGCTAAACGAATAAATGGGTAAAATTACAGGGCCACTCGTTTATATCCTTCATTCTACGCTACGTCTACGTTATTTATGAAGTTTAATAAACATCAATGTAATCATCAATTGATTTTTGATAAAAATTACTCCAGTCAATATAGACTTACTCATTCCCACCCATTGTGCATGCAGATCCAAACAGCTTCTTGGTAGGGCACGGCGAGTCGCCATCATCCAGGGGGTCTTGGGTATCCAAGAGGAAAGATTAGACAAATCCATCAACCAACTAATATGGAATTGATGTCTGCAAATTGTAATCAAAACTGCGTGCATTTGTTTGCTTGTTTCGCATAACCGGTAAACCACCGTTTTAGGCGTAACACACCACATCTTTGTACATGTAAGTACAAGCTGCGTAAGACCGGACTGTAAGGCTTGAACCGGAAGGACTCCTGCTCTTTTCGTTAAGTGCGGTGGGTTCTTTAATGTGCGTGGGGTGTGGCTCTCCCCCAAAACTCTAACCATAATATGTTCCATGTTTTGTTTTGACGCATGGCGAATTTTATAACATTCCATTTTCTTCAGTTATGCTGTTAAATCACAGACAGCAAAGACAAACACAAACCCTACCGACAACATAATCTTGTTGGCATAGGTAATAATTGCATGATGGTATTAATGGTTAGCACATAGAGATGTCAAATTGAATACCTTGATTGACAGACGTGTAAGATTAAGAGATGAATGCTATTCTACTGACTATGACATACGTGCTCTTTAGATAGTCCAAACTAGTAAACTGACCATATGGATGTCCGACGAAGAACTGATGTCCCATCTCATGGGTCAGCACATCGATGTAGTCTGCGGGTCTGCCGGTTGTTATGGCGGTTGACTATGCAAATTAGATCAGCAGTTTTAATTCTACGTAAGGTTATAGTTAAAGTAAAAGCCCTTCTATCAATGTTACATATGGTGGCACCCATCAACCGATTCAATAGACGTGTGCAACCACAGCAATGAGTCGATTGGTGGTAGCCTATTATTTTTTTTTATCTAACTAACGTTCTTTTTCCAAAATTCTAAGTACAAAGAAAACCAGTATGTACCAGTCTTTAGTCAGAGCTTGAACTCACGACCTACCGACCTACCGAATGTGAACACTCCACCCACTTGGCCATTGCTCTGGTCGGTTCTATATAAGCGATACTGCAATAGTTCAATCTTTCTCTGGTGCAAACTTATTTATTTGACGAATAATAAATGTAGCTCACCCCACTAATGATGAAGGGGAAGTTGTCCACACTCTCCATCTGACAAAGGTCTCCCATTCCTGCACCGGTGGCTTTGGTTCCGTGGAAATAGGGAGGGCCACTGAACAAAAGGAACCTGTCAATGTTACTAATTGTTGTAATACAGGTTGTAGCGCATGCTAGTATAGAGTTTTAATGGTTTAAAATCACCCAATTTAGTTATTTCCTAAATATATTCTTTATCTTTGCTCTGAAAGATGCCATTATGTTAACGCCACAGTGTCACAATTTCACCATTGTCCTATTTTCTAATATATAGCTATAAGCAATGTCCACGGCAATAAGCCAGTGCAAACCAGGTGCGCAATGGCATGTCCCGTATGATGCATTGTGGTCTAAGAACAAATGTCAAGGTCCAAGGGTCCTTAATCTTTGACCCCTGCACATGTGCACTTGGACCTGAGAACTGGTTTATTGACATGCCATATTGTTACAAATGTACGTACGTGATGAATGTTGCTGTATCGAATTTGTGGACAGGTCGCAGGTCATTCCAGATGTACTCGCTGACGTTTGGCTTGAGATAGTCATAGTAATGAGGGTTCTCTTCTTCTCCTGGCCAATATTTGTCCAGAATCTCAACTCCACTCAGGAGCACGCGAAAGTTGATCGTCCTGTAGGCCTGCAATTGGACAGAAAAACAAAAGTCTGAATGACAAATAAAACCTTATGAATGTATGTTGTACGTTGTACTGATTTTGACATATCCTTCACATAACAGTTTCTTATATTTATACACCATTCACAATGCGAGACAGTAGGCTGTAAATGAAGGTAAAGGCTCGTAATATTGTTATCAATCAAGACACTGGTTTATGATGGTTTATTTTGCTCGCACTATGCCAAAGGAAATATATAATATATTATACATAGTATTTTACCTTATCGAGAATTGCGACTGCCTCCATTGCGTGGTTCTCAATTGCAGCTCGATCACCGAGGAACACTTTGTCAAACTGTGAGGATAAGAAAAGATAAGTTAACAAGTTCTCCTATTTCAAAGTCTACATCAAACGCGACCTTGAGGATCTAAAAGCCAAAACCTACGCCCACTTCTTTACAATAAAATAACACTGGGAGCGTTGAAAAATCCATAGCTTGCCCAGAACACGAGATAACACCAAAACCATCATGCATTCTCAACCTCTTGAATTGTGCTGTCTACAAAGTCACAAAATATTAATATCGCGAAACAAAAATCTATTTAGTGAAGGTACTAGCTAGGTAATACATTATGGTTTGATGCTTTAGTTACGTATTAGGTCGTCTCATGCTCACGTTTTGTGGGATATTTCAGCGTTTGTACAAAACTATGCCTTGTCATTCGTGCAACATCTTAGACTTACAGCATTCTTGTTGTAGATGAAGAGCATTCTGACGTAACGGGTCGGCCAGTCCACGGCAAAATTCCCGTCGTTCAGTAGGTAGTAGGGGACTTCTGGCCAGGTCTGTACAGGGAAGATCATGTGTGTAAAGCCTCTGTCACACAATGATTCACGAATTTGGCCTCCCGAACACTAGCCGAACGCCCGCCGACCATGGTCAGGAGTGGGTCGCGATCGGCGCAAAGTCGGCTGGCGTTCGGCGAATTCAGCTACAGTTCGGCTGCTACAACCGAATGTTTCAAACTGTTTAAAACATAAGTGAGTCATTCGGGAGGTTTGATCTTAGTTGGCTGGTTTTCGACCGTAAGTCAGCAGAACACCTCAGTGGTCGGAGCGTGTTAAGGGATCAAATTTGACTCCAATTTAACTCAAATTTCGACTCATATAGAAAGGTAGGCATGGCCTAGATCTTGTCAGAGTGCTCCCGAACACCAGCCGACCTGTTCAGCTGGTACCGGTGTTCGGGAAGGAATTCGTGGGACGTTCGTGAAAGTGTGACAGGGGCTTAAAGGGACGTGGCCGTGCTATATCGTTGTTTACCCGCCATGTTTTTGTGCGCTATTTGCATTTCAGTGAATCATAGCTCAAGCTCAATTATTGAACGCGTCCTCTGGCCATTCAACTAATCACTAGTGCTAGCTGGTCAATGGTATTACCGACTATTAGTATAAATCAATATCACAGACAGGTCTATGACAAGTCACTCCTTTTGTGTATTAGTGTACCTTTAAGGTCTTGAAGCATTCGTGGTAGTTGCACAGACGAGAGTCGTTCCAAAAAGGAATGTCTCGTCGTTGCTGCTCTTGCAATTCCTGCACCTAAATTGAAACATTGATCAGCTTTAAGGCATCTCAATAAACGGTAGGAAACAAAATTATTTTCCTTGCGTGTATGTTTTAGCTATTTATAACAATTAAAATTGAGTTGAAGAATTTATTTACCTCTACATCTGCTGTCCTTGTTTCATCTTCGTCATCAACATCGTCAGGCATTCTGCTGATCACCTCCTGCAAAAGGTGGTCTTAGTAAGTTGGTGTAGCCTTGCGAAATGGAAACTGCATTCTATATCTATTTCTTCACTTTACTCATATCATGATTAGGTGAAAATGAGTATGGATAGTATAGCAGGAGGGATTTAGCCTCCTGTCTGACCATATATATATATATATATATATGAATGTGTTTGAGTACGTAAGAATTAACAGAGGAGACCATATGCGAAGAAGCCTGGGTACCATCCTACTTGTATGCCGGGTCTCCTACACTCGCTTCCCTACTTGTTGTTTTCCCTACAATGTTTACTATATGCGAAGGTAAACATCGTGGATTTGCTTTTCAAATGTTACCTTTTTTGTGAATATTGTTTTTCATAATACAGATGGACTGGATAATACAATGAAACATATCTTACCTTTATCTTTGTTGCGCGAAGGGTTGTGAAAAGTGACGCAATCATAAGGACGTTGAGCCACAGATTCGCCATCGCGTAAAAAAACACCCTTCAACAAAGGAAAGGATACTTATAAGTCGAAGGGTCAAGGTGTCAGAAATTCATGATACTCAAGATTTGTAAAATGAAAGTGGCATTTTGCACCAAGGAGATGTTTTTCATATAACACCACAAACTAAGGTATTCTGTACTATAGTACTAGTTATGTTACGTCGACGTCTAACCCCTAAACAGCCTGTATAGTAAGCGTCTTACACCTAAACAGCCTGTATAGTAAGCGTCTTACACCTAAACAGCCTGTAAAGTATATTGTCAAGAGCTCAACACATGATCATGCCTCTTTTTGTTTCCTGATTATGGATGGCCATGCCCGTAACCAGGGCTTTTTATCTAAAAGTCCAAGATTTTCGTTTAAAAGGTGGACTAATTTCTATCATACGCGAGGCTGGAACCCTTGAAAAACTGCTCACTTTAAATTTGTCATTGAATAAAAAGTTAGCTCTGATTTTTCTTTTGAAATCCTCAGAAGAACACAGGAAATGCCATTTCAGAAGGTTTGATTTTCACAATTTTCCACCCC